TGTAAGATGAGCTCCACTTTAACACTAGATTATATGTATAATGAGACCAGCGCTGTTGGATTCATAATGATAATTACGTTTCTTTGTTTTGAATATTTTATATATATTTAATTGTGAATCTGTTTGTGGTCCTTTAAATAAATGAAAAAAAAGATGATGCGGTGACCAGGATTAAGAAAGGAATGTTTCGGTGGTTTGGTAATGTAGAAAGAATGAATGCGTAAAGACTGACAAAGCAAATATATGTTGCAGAAGTGAATGGAAGAGTCGGAAAGGGACGTCCTAGGCGGAAGTTTGTCGACCAAATTGGCGATATACTAAAAATGGGCCAAATTAAGAGTACCCTTAACCGACGAGCATGTATGCGTAGGCATATGGATGTGGAAGAGGCGAGAAAGGTATGTCAGGATCGTGCTAAATGGAAGTCTGTAGTCTCTGCCTACCCCTCTGGATGACAGGCGTGAGTGTTTAGGTTACGTTATGTTTATGTTATATATATATATATATATATATATAAAGTTTCAAAATCTATAACGGACATAGGTAGTAAAGTTTTATTTATTACTTATTCTGTGTTTTTATATAGATAGATTTAAAAGATTTAAAAAAACATTAACAAAATTAGCTTTGTTCCAAGAAATAAACAAAGTGTGTTTCTAGCCCCTAGTTCAAATATAGAAGGTATGTTTGCTTAGCAACAGACACTTAAATCTGGATTTTATTTTAGAGTTTATAACTTCGAAATCACAACCTACATACAGTTACATATCCTTTTATACGTTCAAAAAGTAACTAATGCTAACCTAATTTTACAGACACCAGTTTAAAAAAAAAACTTTTATCGGCCGTTTTGCACCGGCAGGACTTGAATGTTTAAAATCTCGTCGGAATTAATGACCACATGACAACAACAAATCTGCAGTGCAGTGGCTATGCGACATGCAGCACCACTATTTGTGTGGCCTTCAATTATTCATATTTGATGTCCATGTAGTGATTTATGCCTCCACGTTATAGAAAAAAAATTATTTTCCACCTGCAAAAGGAACTTTTAAAAGTACAAGAAAGTGGCAAATGACATCATTCATAGGCCTCCCCCCAATGAATGCCACAAAGCACGGTCCTGAGCCACCTGTATCCATTGACTTCATTCATATCTTACCAGGTCGTCACTCCATCTAATGGGGGGCCGACTTGAGAACCTATTTTCCCCATCGATTGTCGATTACGATTACTAATGTAACTAAATTCCGAATGTTACGATAAAACACCTCCCAACCTTATTTCCCATCGGTTGTCAATTCTTTGAGCTATAAGGTTAACCCATTGCAACTTAAGCTCCAGCGATTCTGCCATAAGGACAATATGTGATCTTGCCATTGATGTAAATACTAATATCCTTTTCAGTTCAATAGCTTAAAAAGTCTTCTAATGCAGCGGTGAAGAATTTCAATGATACGTCACCCTGTCTTACACCTCTCTGCATTTGGATGGGTTCGGTACTCTGGTTCTGTACTCGGATAGCCATCGCATCCCTTCTGTACAAACACTTCAGTACTTCGATATACCAACAATCAACTTGGCACCGCTAAAGGGACTGCAGCATCGCCCGAATTTCGAAGGTATCAAGGCCTTCTCATAGTCCACATACGCAAGAAATAGTGGCAGATTGTACTCCTCGGTCTCCTGCAAAATTTACCGAAGGGTATATGTATATGGTCCGGTACTAACGACTTTTCGGAAATTGTCTGGTTCACGAGGCTGGAAGTAATCGAGTTTGCGTGCGAGACGATTCATAATGACTTTATGAAAAAGCACGTAGACGCGGTTTAGAAGAAAAATTGGTCTGTAGTTCTTGAACAAAGCGTTGTCGCCTTTCTTGAAAAACAAGACCACCGTATTTCTGCTTCTATGAATGGAGTATTGCCATAATGGATGACAAATTGAAGAGCTTCTAAAGGTCTTCAAATACTGGTTTTCCACAAGCTTTCAGAAGCTCCGCTGTAATTCTATCTCCACCCGGGGTCTGTTTGTTCAGTTGCATGTATGCTGGCTGTTATATCTGCTGACAGTGGTAGAGCCACGCGGCAGCTTTTGCTGTTGCACGTATGGGCCGGCTGGAGCCCGGGGGGTAACACGACCTCACAGAATACCGGCGTGAAGTGGAAGCTCTGCTTGTGCGTTTTGTCTGGTGATTACAGGTGGCCGGAGGCCCAATTACCCCCCCCCCCCATCAACATGGTAGCGGAATTAAATGTAAGACTACCCCAGGATGGTACCAGCAGCCATGGAGAATTCCTCGCTGAGCATCCACGACCAAGCTACTCTACTACTGAGCGTGGGTGTTTCGCTTAAGACAATAACTGCTCGGAGCAAGCAGAGCAACAAGACCAAGGCGACCCCCGCCAGGCTATCCGTAAATTTCTGCAATATCAGGGAACTTCACTCAAACCTAAACGGCGTCCACTATCATCGCGAGACGGCGAAGCCGGCTCTGCTCTTTATGACCGAGACGCAGGTGTCCTCTCCGGCTGATGCTTTGTATCTCTCCTAGCCGGGGTACAAACTGGAACACTCCTTTGTGCTTCGGGCTGGAGTTTGCGTATACGTCAGAGAGGACATCTGTTCTCGACACATCGGCAGTCTTGAAGGTTCCGACCTTTCCATCCATTGGCTACGCGTAGACAGCTACGACCATCCGCGCGCCTACGGGTGCCTCTATAGGTCCCATAGCGGTAATGCCAAAACAGACCGACTCTTCGACCACGTCCAAATGACTACTGATTCGTTGCTACAGAAGATCTCCTTCGCAGAGATCGTAATCCTCGGCGATTTTAACGCCCACCACGTCGAATGGCTTGGTTCAAGTCTAACCGATCATGAGGGGAGATCTGTTCATGATTTTTCCTTAGCATATGGTTTGACACAACTGGTTACTTTACCTACGCGGATTCCAGATGTGGAGTATTATGCACCCTCCCTGTTGGACCTTCTGCTGACCCCTCATCCGGACAGATATCAGGTCTCCGTCGATGCCCCTCTTGGCTCCTCCTATCCGGAGTGTGGTGCCACTGACGCTGAAATCGCAGTTGCATTCTGCAGGCTGCCGCCGTGTTTGGCACTATAGGTCAGCCGATTGAGATAGGATGCGGTCTTTCTTTGCATGCTACCCTTGGGGGCGGGTTTGCTTCTCGCCGGACGATCCCAACGTTGTTGCTGATTCTGTCGCTGATGTGGTACTTCAGGATATGGAACTTTTTATTCCTTCCTCTGTAGTGCCCATCAGAGGCAGATCTCAGCCATGGTTTAGTCGCTCCTGTGAAATAGCATCATGCTATAAGCAGGAGTGCTACCGGGTCTGGGCTGACGCATCAACATATAAAAACACCTAAAAAAGAAGTATAATTCCGCCTCCAAGTCCTTTAACAGTCATTGCCAAGACAAAGTTAGAGCACATAGACAGAATTGGCGAGAACCTAGTTCGCCTTCCTTCTGGACCCCGTGCATTCTGTTCTCTTGCCAAGGCTGTCCAAGGGAATTTTTGTCAGCCATCTCTTCCATCTCAGAACAGAAAGGAAGACTCACTGGCCCACGCCGCAAAGAAGAAAGCCGATGTGATAGGCTCTTTCTTTGCGTCAAACTTGACTCACAATGACGGGGGAGCACACCGCCGACCATCCCGCGGTGTGAGTGCTCCATGCCGGAAGTGCGGTTCATACAACGCTCGGTTCGCAGAGCACTCATCTCCCTGGACATCCACAAGTTGAGTGGGCCTGACGGAATCCCCCCCAATTATGCTGAGGACGTGCGCTCCAGATTTGGCACCGGTTCTAACTCGTCTTTTCCGGTACTGGCCGCCAGTGTGTTAGTTTATTTCCCTTATTCTATAAAAAGAAAAAATCTCAGCAGGCTTCTCACACGTTTGTGTGGGTGCTCGAGACACTTGCATGAAGCTTCCTTACTCTTGTTTACTCAGGTAGTAATGACTAGCGATATTTCATATAAAAGTAATTGCTATTATTTTCATCCAGGCGTTGTTGAACCAGCAAAATAAGTAAATTAGCTGAACGAAAGAGACCATAAAGTTATTGTGTTTTCGTATATATGTATGTAATTGCAATATGGCTAAAAAATAACCGTTTCTTTCCGGTTCTTCTCAGAGGCAGGTCAGAGCCAAAATGGAATAAAAAGTTTTGAATTTAGCTTTGATTCTAGATATATTACTCTGAGCTTGCGATATAGTCCACTCAAGCTCAAGTATCAAAATTATTAAACTTTTAATAAAATTAAATAATTAACCACATACGCTTCTCTGGGCTTTAAATTATTCCGTACACTATGTCTAAAGTATGGTAATTGTTTTGTAAATGTGGGGCATACCACGAATCCGAGGGGCCCTGCGCTAACGCTAAATTAATCGAACGGCCATTTTGTCAAAAACTATTTTCTTTATTGATGTATCTCTTTTCGAAAATTAACTTTTTTATCTTCTTTTTTATTTTCCATTAAAACTCAACAAAATTTTCATAATATTTAATTATTTAAAAAGCTTTGATAGCCATTGACTTTACATCCGCGGGGCCATAGGCTGCAGCCCAAGCAGCCCATAATTATATAGTTCCGCCCCTGCTGCAAATTCATCTTTTACTTTTATTAAAAATTAAACTTTGTGCTAGACTGGCCACTTCCTAGTACCATGATGTTAAGGCTGTCTCAAATGTTTGTTAAAAAATTATTATAAGTGTAACCATTTTTATTTCATATTTCATGTGTCTCAGTATTGTGCCCATCAGTGCACTTTTAATTGGTTAGGAATGAACTGGCTTTAAAAATTCTTTACCAAGTAGTGAGACAAAGGCTGTGATTTTACTTTATTGAATGACAAGTAGAAGTTTACAACCAAGAATGTTTTTATTTTTGTCTTACTTAGATACTCAAGTAATTTATGTGCAGCATCATTTAAATATTTTAAACTATTTCTAAAGGATCACTTAATTTCTTCACTTCTTCTGCTGTGCCTGCTCGTCAATGGGGTCTAATTTGGGCTCATCAAACTTAAATGTGGGGAATGATGTCATGTCTACTCCAGGACCTCCTCCAAATTGCCGCTCAAGTTTTTCTAATTCCGATTTTAGTTCCTTTTCTATCGCTGGAGTTGGGTCAACAAGTTTGCCACCACTGTAAGAAAAAATAAAAGTTCACTATTATTACATTTTCTAGTATCTATCTATATAGAAGACATGGTTGTGTCACAATGTTTGTCCAAGAAACTGGTTATGCTCAAACCGAATCCTGGGTATAATAATGGACTTATGTAAGACTTAAATGATAATGATGATGATGATGAAACAAGAAATTTGACCCGCTGTAATCCAGCAGCCTCTCTATTCCTACATGCCTAATATGTACATACGTATGTATGACAAATCTTCGTCAATGGATGATGGAACAGATCTCTTTTACTTTTCAGGAGGCTAAGAGACAAAGTGTTGCTGTTGCACTTTGACAATGTAAAACAAAACAAAATTGTTGAATAACTGCCTATAATATAAACTTAAATTTATCTATTTTCTTAGCTCACACATAAACACATGATCCAATAATGTTAGTTACACAGTACACAGTTACATCTGTATTGATTTACATGATATTACATACCATATTTAGTTTTTCCTTTTTTATAACTGCAATGGACATTAATTCCATAATAAACCGTGTTATGGCTGTATTGATTTATTTAACTCACAAAGTCTCATTTTGTATACATAGTACATATTGATTTTATCTCACCGCTTTTATTATTTGTCAGATTACTAGGTACACATTTAATTTTTTTTTTTTTTTTTTTTATGAAAAAAAAAGTTCTACAACACAAGGCCCAGTACGAGGTGGAGGGTAGGGGGCGGGTCTCTAGTCCAACAAAGTTGGATTACAGCAAGTCAACTGTATACAGTATACTTTTGTATTACAAGTCTTATAATATTTACACCAAATTTTCTAGCTTTTAATTTCTGCCCATAAAGCTTGTAGCTTATTTGGGACAATTTAAATAATACTAGTTTTTACGGAATTTATCGCGTATTTAAATACCTGACGTTTCGAGCGCTTTACAGCACCCATGGTCACAGGGGGACTGAGATGTTCAACGTCCAGATGTCATAGTTAACCGCGGTTACCATAGATTAAAATTTTACGTTTGTTCCGATCTACTCAGTATGAACTTATGGTATCTGCACACAACAACTGCAAGCATACAACAACAAGCAAGACTTCATCTTGCAGTTGTATGCTTGGGTTGGGATTTAATTTTATTTATTATAGGATCCCAAGTCCCAAAGCACCCAGCCATCTTCTCTATTGAAATTAGGATGTTTTTTGATTTCAATAGCCTCACGAATCATCCTTGGAAGGAATCGGTGTACTTTAGCGAGGATTTGTGGTATATCAAATCTGATGTAGTGACGGGGGCGATCCTGTACGTGTTCATAGGCTGCAGACTTCCCAGAGCGATGTGAAGAATCGACGCTCCGACACTGTAGTGTTCGCGTAAATATAAGAAATCATTATGGAACAATTTAATTCCTGACAAGCTAAGTACGACAGTTATTAAAAAATTCTGCTGCATGTTAGACTTTTTTGGCTTTACTCAGAGGCAACTTTTAGAATAGCAATAAAACATAATATGTATTTGTCCAATTAATAATGTTGTGAGTATTCCAAAGTTTCTGTCAGAACACATCTTGTATATACATGATGTTGAACCACACAAACTGAACAAGTTTACTAATTTTGGTTTGTATTACATTATTTTTTGCACTCTTTTGATAAAAAGAACAAAAGCAAAAGAATATTTAAACTGACACACTCCTCTAACAATGCATGTCCTCTGACAGTGTATGTTCAGAGGTATGAAAATAAACTATCCATAAAACCAATGTAGAGTAGGGATGCCCAAATTTTTGTTTTGAATCGATCTTCTGGATCGTAATGGATCGTAACCTCATTTCAGTTTTAAGACCTGGCAACCCTACCTACCTTCATATTTCATACATTACCGCTTTTGATGTAACTCGAAGCTACTCTTATTCAATGTGTAGGTAGTTAAACTTACTTAGTTTAAGTTATTATGTCCCCTCCCCGGCATAACGATAGTTATGTAAATATTGGCTTGCATGTTAGTATGTTACAGTTTTGTAGATGTTTCGGTTTTAGTTGTTACGATTTTTTCATACGATCTTATAGGCATACGATTTGATCTGGGTGAAGATTGCATTCCCTTGAATCAACTCAAAAATCAGTAATCATATGGCTGTGAACCGGTCCTCCAGAAAATCGATTCTGATCGGGCATCCTTAATATAGAATTAAAAAAAATAGATTAAAATATAACTAGCATTCATAAATTTGGTATCTTTTAAAATAAGTAGCTTTAATACTTTGTAAGAAAGTAGGATAGTGGTAAATTTATTATTACACTCAACTGAAATTAAAAGTATGAATACTGTTAAAGACAGCACATGATTGGAATATTTTGAGAGCAACTTACACACTCTTCTTCTTGTACTCTCTGATCTTATCCACGAAAAGCTGCTGAATAGGGTCCGTAGCTTTTTGTGCTGCGGCCAAATTCCTTGTAACGATGACAGAGGATCGAGCTGCCCGAAGGCCAGTGAAGACTGAAGAAGTAAGCATCTGAAATAAATTAACATAACCTTCAATAATGGGTTATATAATTTATAATGTTATTATGGTTTATAATTATTCATATCTTAAATTATTTGGTAAAACGAGTGCTATTGTTAATATTTCGTTAAAGTAATGAATTTAGGAACGTTTTAGCTCTTTTACTTACCTTTTTCTTTAAAAACTTTCAGCAAAACCTGAATTAATTTTTTCCTTGATTTTGACAATTAACAACTGATTGCCAAATGGTCAGGGCTGCCAGTAAAAGTAACTTATTTTATACCGCTGGGTCCCAGAAATTAAACAAAATCAAATCATTTTAAACAAAATTTTAAAATCAATGAATGAGAGTAAACCAAAAATAAATAAATTTTATATTCTCTGTTTTAAATTTCATTTATTATTGATAATTACTCAATTAGATTATACTACCTAGTTATAATATAACTTTATTGTTTGGTTCAATAGAATATCCTGTTTATTGGAAGCATTATCTTAATATATATAAATTACGTGTCACGCTGTTTGTCCGCGATGGACTCCTAAACTACTTAACCGATTTTAATCAAATTTTCACAACGTGTGTAGTTTGGTCCAACTTGAGAGATGGATAGTTTTTTTGCCCATGAGTGACTCACAGTTGTTTTTTGCGAATTTATGGATTTTTAATAGGACATGACAAAGGATCGTCGAAAAGGGCAGAACAACGTCTGCCTGGCAAGCTAGTATGTAATATTATAAAGCATTAGTACCAGCAATCATCACCATTACATTAGAGATGAGTCCGATATCATGTCACAGGTAAAAATCATCGATATTTTAAAATCATGTCATCATGAAATGACAACGACAAAATCATCAATGCTTTTAAGGACGCGTTTACAAATCAACCAAAATTAGGGTGTTTTTCGGGAGATTTTGTGACAAAACTAAACCAAATCAAATATAAGTAAAAACTACCATGTATAGATTGGTTCTTCATCTGCAAACGTCTGTAACTCTTTTGTTGAAAATAGTAGTTTTTTATATTGTAAAAACATTTTCTACAAAATTAACGATACCGGCTTGTGTTTCGGTACATGTTTTGGTCTATTATCAACATATTTAAAAAATTTAAAAAATACTATAAGATAACAGACATATTCAATTAAAAAAACCCTGTGTTTATTTTTATCAAAATGTCACAAATAGTCGTAGAAAAAATAAAAACTGATGCACATTTTTTCACATATTTTGCTAATACGGATAAATCATAATCTATTGCAATAAGGGCTATTTTATTGTTGGTGCCTGCTTTGATTTATTGTACAAAGATTTCGATGAAACCACAGTCCGCGCTTGGCCGCCGTCGTGAGTGGACACTGTATCGCCTGTTTGCAGCGGCTCATTCTGAAAAGATCGCTGTACATACACATAATATTAGAAAAAAACAAATTGGAAACATAAGTACTTGACAAGTGATAAAATTATTATTTTTATACTCACAGTTTTTTATTTAGCTAAAAATAAGTAGGATATATAAACTTACCTACTACTGCAACTCCTGGATGAGCGGAACTAGGTGTGCGGAGTTTGGGCTCGTTTTGTTGGTTATGATGAGACCTTACCTCCGGACTTGATGGCGTGACCTGAAGGTGTACTTTCGTGACCGCTATTTGAACTTCTTGCAGAGTAAAACTAGGGGTGGCGAATTTGGGCTCCGTTTTGTTAGTTATGACGAGTCCGTACCTCCGGACTTGATGGAGTGACCTGAAGATGTAAATCGGTGATTGCAACTGGAACTCCTAGACTGGTAGAACTAGGTGTGCCGAGTTTGGGTTCGTTTTGTTAGTTACGATGAGACCTTACCACCGGACTTGATTGAATGACCTGAAGGTGTAATCAGGTGGTTACAAATGGAACTCCTAGACTAGTAGAACTAGGTGTGACGAGTTTGGTTTCGTTTTGTTAGTTACGATAAGACCTTACCACCGGACTTGATAGAGTGAAATTCGGCACACCTAGTTCTACTGGTTCAGAAATACGTAGTTAAGTTAAATAAGTAGTTACTGAATTACCCCTTCAGGTCACTCCATCAAATCTGTTGGTAAGGCTCATCATAACTAACAAAACGAACCCAAACTCGGCACACCTAGTCCTACAAGTCTAGGAGTTCCATTTGTAACCGAACTACACCTTCAGGTCACTCCATCAAGTCCGGTGGTAAGGTCTCATCATAACCTACAAAACGAACCCAAACTCGGCACACCTAGTTCTACCAGTCTAGGAGTTCCAGTTGCCATCACCGATTTACACCTTCAGGTCACTCCATCAAGTCCGGAGGTATGGACTCGTCATAACTAACAAAACGGAGCCCGAATTCGGCACACCTAGTTCTACTCGTTCAGAAATTCCAGCAGTAGTTACTGAATTACCCCTTCAGGACACTCCATCAAGTCTGGTGGTAAGGTCTCATCATAACTAACAAAACGAACCCAAACTCGGCATACCTAATTCTACCAGTCTAGGAGTTCCAGTTGCAATCACCGATTTACACCTTCAGGTCACTCCATCAAGTCCGGAGGTATGGACTCGTCATAACTAACAAAACGGAGCCCAAATTCGGCACACCTAGTTCTACTCGTTCAGAAATTCCAGCAGTAGTTACTGAATTACCCCTTCAGGTCACTCCATCAAGTCTGGTGGTAAGGTCTCATCATAACTAACAAAACGAACCCAAACTCGGCATACCTAATTCTACCAGTCTAGGAGTTCCAGTTGCAATCACCGATTTACACCTTCAGGTCACTCCATCAAGTCCGGAGGTATGGACTCGTCATAACTAACAAAACGGAGCCCAAATTCGGCACACCTAGTTCTACTCGTTCAGAAATTCCAGCAGTAGTTACTGAATTACCCCTTCAGGTCACTCCATCAAGTCTGGTGGTAAGGTCTCATCATAACCAACAAAACGAACCCAAACTCGGCACACCTAGTTCCACTAGTCTAGGAGTTCCTGTTGTAATCACCAAATTACACCTTCAGGTCACTCCATCAAGTCCGCAGGTAGGTAAGGTCTTATTATAACTGACAAAACCAGTTCAAAGTCCAGAGCTAACATCTCACTACCAGTAGAGGGCTTCCAGTGCCAAGCAGTCTCTGGAGCAGGTATTCGTATTTCGTATCGAAGTATATTTCTGAGGTAGGTATAAGAAATGAAAAACAAATTCAATCTTTCAAATTATCAAAATAATTTCATTTGACTACGATTCCCACAGCCAACCGTGCGTACACTACTGTGTGTGTGACTTTTGTCAATGTAGTAGTGCGATTCTATACCTATCAATTTTGTAAACGCGTCCTTAAATCATTTCTTGAATGAACGCGAGCTTCGGTGATTCGGATCGGGTGTTCTCGGGCCGCCCCGGGCGTTGCGGTGTGACGTGCGACGTTGCGAGATTTCTCGAGCGGCGATAGGTACTGGCTGAAGTCACAGAACTTACAAGTTTCGATAAAATGACCGGCGCGGGGGTGCACAGCACACTGCACGGAACGGCAACAAACAATGCTTTTACTTGCGTTGTTTACGTTTACGCGCGAAATGCACGGCAAATTACGAATGCTATTTTATCTAGCATTTAGTAATTTATTATCGCGTGAATCATTGTTTTGGTTAGACGAAGACGACCAACCACACGTACGAAATACGTTGTGTAATGTATTCTCGTTATAATTGGCTTTTTGATACGTTATAGTGAATTTAGTTTAGTGAAGTTACCTATATCATTGATTTTAAAACTAAGTTTACACATTTAGCGTTAAAGGCAAAATTAGTTCTGAATAAATACTGTGTGATAGAGAAACATCAGTGCCATGTGAAAGGGTATTTTCACGAGCTGGTACCATGGTAACTGAAAGACGCACTCGTCTAGGAATTGCAAAAGTTAAACAACTAATGTTTTTAAACGTCCATTGTAGCCAATAATTCGGTACAACGGGCAAGAAAATGTAAATATTTCTACAGAAAAAAAACAACAAAAATACAAATAACAAAAAAAAAAATTAAATAACAAATATTATTCATAATTGATCATTGTAAATATACTGTTACGAGCTTGAGGTTCGTGACAATAAAAATTGCCGATAAAATTACCTAAATTAACACTTTAATTTACTTTACACAAATTAAAACTAAAAACACTAATAATTTAAACACACTTATTCACTTAATTCCGCTCCGAAGCTTCGCTTGTGTCGCCGAGTTCAACTCTGCCTCATCGCATCTTGCAGCGCCTACTTATATAAATTAGCAAAATATCCAGAATGTTCAAGTAAACACGCGCAAGGTACCGAGAGTTCGAGTTTTAAACTTCAAGAAGTTTAGTTCTTCGGTTCGAGACTAGATGGCGCTAGTGCGCCGATTTTAGCGCGTAACAATACCAATCTTTTAAATGCATCAAAGAAAAGCAGAATGATAGTTTTTTTTTATTAGGTAAGTACCTACTAAGTACTATTACTTTGCCAGTCTTTTGCAGTCCTAAGCCTGGAAAAAGCATGAAGGTAAGATTGGAGGTATAACGGCTTAGTTATCATTAGTTATTTATGGTCGCGTATTTACGCGACCATAAATAACTAATGATAACTAAGCCGTTCCGCGATCATTTCAGTATCTAGTCACAATTGAAGTGACGAGATCTAATACTCAGATAAAAATCATTGATGATTTTGTCATTGTTCCCGTCACTGATATTTTTTTTGTCATTGTCATGCAGTCATTGATACAGAAAAATCATCACTCAGCCCATCTCTGTATTACATTCCTTCGGGCGTGCCATACACTTGGCTTACCGGTACGAGGTTGCCTTGCGAAACTTTTTGCCCATTGGTTACGATCGCTAATTCATCTTTATTCCGAATGTTAAGATAAATAACCTCTCACAAAACAGCAATTTAATTAACACAATAGTAGGGAGATATTTCTAAGTTTATTTAAAAAAAATTCAAGCCTCAGTACACAGACTTAAGAAGTTTAAAACAAAAAAAATGCAAAGTCGCAAGGTTTCCTCAATGAAATTGCGTGTTTTTCGTTCATTGCTTGTAATAATAATTTCTTGTTAAAATAGTTTGTTTTCTCTTCTAAAGTAATAGTAAAGGTAATTTTAGATAACATATTTATTTATTTAGTAATAATCATTC